TCACTTTTTCAGATCGAGAACAGGCACTTCGCTCAAGCCCGAAAGGTTCTGAGATGGTAAAACTACATTTATTTTTGTAGGCTCGTAATCTGGTGATAGCGATGACATCTTTGCATCTGCTTGCCGTTCGAAAGGCGACGTTTCTCGCTGTCAACACAAAAAAGACACTCAAGCTCTAGAAATCCGACCTTCGGTCGTCTCTGGGAAATACAGAGACTCAGCGTATTTGGATCCTGTCTCACACTAAATGTCTCCTTCCCTGTAGCGTAGATCGCTCCAGAAAGCGTCTTCAGATATTCGCTGTTAAGGTGATCCCTGATCGGACCATCTGAAAACCCTGAAATGATATTGTAATCAACACAAATTCACTTAAGGGGTTTGTTATCATGCAACTTGCAAGGTAACGTTTGGGTTGGGCTTGAACGTGAACATTACGCATACACTGTTTGAGTTGCAGGAGCTCTGAAAGAGTCCGGGACTCTGCCCTGTGCGGCTCAAACGTTTTTCTGATCTAGAAGTTGAAGATCCTTCACGACCCTAAATCATCTGGGTCGTGAAACTTGCAGGTCAGGACCCAATCTCTGTCATCTTCTGACAGATATGACTGATCAAATGAAACTTGCATTTGCTCGTCGTCGGTAGGACGGACTTGGTGGCACCGTCTACCTCGACGAATTATCGTTACAGAGGATCGTTCCTTATTCCCGGTACTTGACATATCTCTAGCTGAACGTTCTTCCGTCGACGCTCACGCGTCGACTTTGCGGACTAATATTGTTCATGTATCAGCATTTCAGTCCGCAGATTATAATTTCTTCGCAACAGGGTCCCCTCCACTTGCGACACATTAAAATCTTGTGGCAATATCGTTCTGATGGTGGAATGTTGTTGGTCTCTTGTCCCTTGTGTACAGCATGTCCTAGACAGTTTCTAGGTCAACGGTCGAATTCGTTCGTCCGACTGCACTTCAATCAACACCGCTAGAACAAGAATGGAATGAGCGAGTTTCGAGAAAGCAGTCGCTTTCTACATAGTTCAACATGTTTATGTTGTACGATGCGCTAGTGGTCCTAGATAAACTACAAAAGGCTACAAGGTGTAACGGGCCACAGCTCACTTCGAACTAAAATACCAGTACGGAGTCAACACTTACTGACAAACGTGAAGGTTAGTGCCCCGATAGCTATAGACACTATACCAAGGAAGGGTAAACTACTAAGGCAAGACTCAAGTTGTAAAAATCTTTAATAATATGTAGAATGAAATTAAGTCCTTTGAATCTCGTTCTCTGGTTTGACCTGAATAAATTATGGTAATATAACTGAGCGTATTATGACGTCTACTCACCACCCTTTGCGCGCGTCTAGCAGAGATTGATGGATTGATATACATACAATGTCAACCAATGAATAGATATCTGGTTTATCTTACAAATATCGTTCTAATAAGTGGTATTGTTTAAGAGCATTCGACATACTATTATTTATTGTTATACCGGACACTGTAACTTTCGTGTTACACGCTACCACTTTACAACGGGTCGAAAAAATCATCTTTTCGTTCCGCTGGCCGATTCTGCCAGCTACATCTGTCGGTCCCCAGTACCCAATCCTTTCCATTCGTGCCTCCACACAGAATTGGTGTATCTGGTTTACGTGGTTGTTGTTGGGTCGCGAATCGATCCCCGACGGCGTCAGACATGCGGAATAAGGAGCATGGTACTTCACTGGAACAAAGGACGGCTTTCATATGATCTGGAGCAGTTGGTGGTGGTGGCAAGTGAATGTACTCATGACTCATTCCCGGTCGGAGTATTCTTTGTCCATACTGGAAAGGCCGTCCAAGCATGGGTCGCTATTGGCACTGAAAAATACGATACAACATACACGACCAGCACATACAAGCTCCCGTACCTTCCCATGCAAGTGTATCCCTCACTTTCGAAGTTCGGGGCACGGAAGCCTCATTCCTCTTAAGGACATGGCGATACTTCCATGGGGAAAACACTTCCATGGACGAAGCGATACTTCCAAGGACAAACTAATACTCAAATCGGTCATTTAGCCAATTAGCTCAGTATCGCGAATAAATGCATGGCATATAGAGGGGTTCTACTAAATCACAATGTCTGGGAAAAATGCTTTGCTTAACAAGAATTAGGCTTTGGGAATCAACACGACTCGGTCACTGGCAATCAACTTTTTTACTCATAATAACGACCTCAAATAGCGGCTATATTCTAGGCGGATTGGACATTTTAGGTAACGAGGCGTATAGCAAGGATCATCGACGGTGAGATGTATAGGCCCGGCGTAGCAGACATACTCACATCTTATTGACAAAGAGATGATAGAAATTCCAACACTTACGGAAACGTGTGTATGTGGTTAAAGCAAACTTTGATTTATGGTGAAATGTCCCGATTGACCTGGAAAGCATGCAACACATCAGAACGGTAGTGTCACAAGGCTGCCTAATGATAAGTATAGACAGCATAAGCTTTTGCTACAATTGTACGGTTTGCAATTCGCGTCTGTAAGCTCCGGCAGCTTCTGTGGTTCATTGCTGGTCTCGTTGTTTTTGTACATTGTGCGTCACGCAAACGCCAACGAGATTTACTCAACGCTAGTGGAATTATGCTTGCAGGCTCATCGTGGTCATTGATCGAATTGCATTGCTCGGCTTGACTGCGGAAGTCTTTCTCCAACGTCACACGTATTGTACAAACTTCTTCACACCACTGAATGTGGTACCAATGATAGGAGTTCTCGACGCTGGTTGTAGACGGACTTGCGCAGCGGACAATCAGACAGCAGCTTTGTCGTATTTGCCGATAAGGGCTATCAGGAAATCATGCGCGTGGGCAGCCACCACGTGCAAAGTTCATTCGTTGGATTCGCTGTAAATTTATTGCGTCATTGAATGTAGACTTGACGACTCATATCGACAAATTGCCAGGTGAAGCTTTAATAACGATGAGTCATCAGCCTATGTTTGGCCTGGGTCTTGACGCGCTTGAGCATGACCATTTCGCTCCTTGGTGTTGGTGAATCGCAAATGCTGCATGCAAAGCTAGCGGTATGCAAGCTCGATAAAATGAAGCAAGGAGTAACCATAATGCCTAACTCATGCAAGTGCAGATGGTTAGTCGGTGACCCACACAATGCCTGACCAGCATCGCCTGTATCCTTGATTCGAGCTCAACGCTTACTTGTAGCCGTGCGCTGCTGTAGAACCAAACTAGTTTATTTACACTAGTCGTAACCCAATTGAATATATGCGATAGGAATCAGGATCAGGTGCTTGATCGCTTACTCGAAGTGTCAAACCTCACAAAGATGCAGGCATAGAATTACAGGCCCAATCGTTTCGACCTAATAGTCAATGCTGCGTGCCAGGCGCATCGTCGGCGGTTCGTGTAGCGACGATAAACATCGAGCCGAGAAATTACAAAAGCTCTTACCGCCGGGAATTACTGGAGAGCATGATGTGATACAAAAGCAAGAGGGCTGCAATAGTCGAGCCGCAATGAACTCACTAGCCTCAGGAATAATCTTTAGGACAAGCCAATGGCTACGGGCAAGCAGGTAAGTACATACTCGGTCCAACCGATCGTTTTTATGGGGTTCCGATGTCGATCATGTGGCTGCTTCACATATTCCTGTTGCGAAAGACGATCACACGGCCATGCCAAGTCCATTAGACTGCTGCAGACTGAGGAACCGTTCAGCGCATAGCTCATCGATACGAGTCGTTCTAGATTGAGAAAACTCGATTTTGTTGAACAAGTTCAATACACTGATCGATTGGGATATCATTAACAGCCACAGCGAGATATTTTGGAGTGACCTGTCGCAGACAGCGCATACCGCATTTTCTATAAACGCAGCGGCGCTTCGTCGCGAGCAGACAACGACAGTCTAGTGTGCATCTTTTTGCAGCGAGGTCTACAGAGACACGCTCACTGAGTTTCATCAGCTCTTTTTTATGTGCTTCGGTGTCAAACATGCTGCAGCGAGATCTCACGTATACCCCCAGGCAGCGATTCACAATCGACGGTCGGCTCAAGCACACTTACAAAATCGATCTAACGTTTTTTACTTTAACAGTGAGAAGTCTAACCAACTTTGGTCTCACGGACCTTATTCTTGATGGAATGACTCGCTCTTGAGTAACGAAAACCTGTACCCCATCTTGCTCAAGTTCCACAAAAAGCGTGGTCATGATAACTTGAAACTCGAAAGAAGTTTTACCACCCAGCGACATCGACAAATGCTTCAACATGCGTGACTGGCACCAGCACAATGATCTTTGACTTTATCGACGGACCTGAAGAATCGATACACGAGTCCGAGCACGACACTAGCATGACTCTTGCGTGAGCGACTTAAACTTTATCTAAAGCCCTCAGCTCGTTTACCAATGACATCGTCGCTTCCCTGTTGTGAGAAGGAGCTGCGGCAATGTACAACGTGTAAAGCGACGAAACCCCATCAAAGCTGATCACTGGTTGATACGCACGGTCCCACATCTCATCGTCGCTGCGCATGGTCTCACTTCGAAGGTCCCTGAATCGATTGTGACGAATGAAAGAGCTCTTTCGTTAGACGCTGAGCAACACTGGCAGTCGACGCGTGACTCGACTTCACTCGCCATTCGCAAACGCGTACCTTCTAGGCTCCACGAAAGTCCCAGAACGAACTCGTTCGACGAAAAAACGTGCGTGGAAAAGCTCACCGCACCTTTACACATACCCTTTCGCCTCGTGTTCTCCTTGATCCTTATTGCTCTCGTACTTGTCAAGACCGCAGTCAAGAGCTCATTATTCAACCCACGATGGAAAGCTTATATGTGACGGAAAGCGCTTTTGCCGAAAGGCGAAAGGGATACCCTTTCGCTTTTTGGCGAAAGGGTATGCCCTTTCGCCTCGTGTTCTCCTTGATCCTTATTGCTCTCGTACTTGTCAAGACCGCAGTCAAGAGCTCATTATTCAACCCACGATGGAAAGCTTATATGTGACGGAAAGCGCTTTTGCCGCGACATCGTCGTCATCTTATGCCTACACGTCGTCCCCGCTCTACACTCCCCCACCAGACTCGTCTTTGGCCTCTAGTCCAAGTGAGGACGCGTTCTCGTCTGCTCAGGGCGACATCCCAATGGCGGGGTTCCCACTTGCGAGTTCGGACAAACATTGGGACAGTCTGAGCGACGACTTCATCACCAACGCGCTGAATTCCTTTCCGCCGTCTTCCGCCCTCGGGCTGGACGAAGAGTTGGATTTCATGACGCAGAGTGCTTCAAGCGATCCGCGATGTTGTCAGAGCGAAGCGACGCCTTCGTCTCCGTATTCTGGAGCGCTCTTGGCTGAGTCCACGTACCCGAATAGCTCTTCGTGGGTTGAAGAAGTGCCTGTAATGGCACAGGTAGAAAACTTACCACAGCTCGTTGCGACTCCACCAGCGGTAAAGAAAGGAGCTCGCGGACAAGGCAGAAAAAAAGTTGTGTTCCCTGCCGCGCCAAAGAAGCCCACGGCAGGTCTCGAGGAGCATAAAAAGCAGCGACGCCGGTCGCAGATCGCATTGGGCGTGCAACGCCATCGGGAGAAGAAGAAGAGTCTGGTCGTGTCGTTGCAGACCGAGATGAGTCAACTAACGAGCCACTTGGCGACTCTGCGAGCCGAGCGACGGGCTCAACTCGCGAACAACGACGAGCTCATGAAGAACGAGGAAGAAGCGATGACGCAACGGCGCAAGCGGAAACAGGCCGAGCAGCACAATCAGCTGCTGAAAAAGGCGCTGTTCCAGCAGACGACGTTTCTCGGGGGCATGCGGGCCATGATGGGCGGCAGCAACTTGCTGCTTTCCAAGACGCTCGAGTTCCACGACTGGGTGCACTCGTACACGGCCTTGTCGGCCACGGAATCTCTTGGGCGGCGCAAAGAGTACGTCGCGCACTTTCCACGGAGTAAGATGGAGTTGGCGCGGAACATTGTGATCCAGAACACCGAAGAAGATACTTTGCGCTTGTTGGCCACGGGCGGCACAACGACGGCGAACATTCGGATTTTGCACGACGGGACGCGGCACGCGCGCGAGATGCACATTGAGTCGACTGGGGGCATCACACGGGACCTCTTTGGTCGCCGCAGTAGCCGTCAGGATCCGTATACCTCGTTCGTCGACGATGCCGGTGACGGCCGCGTGATTAAGGAGTTCTCGTCCGTGTTTGTTTTCCCCGAGACCGTGCACTGCACGCTCTATGCGCTCATGCACATTGTCGCCAGTAGCATGAAGACCATCGGCGTGTACTACTCGGGCGTGTCGTACGAAGCGCGAGCGTCGGAAGAAGTGCACCTCGAAGAGGACAATGGCTTGACGCACTCGGACGTGTACTACTCGGACCTGGTGGCGTCCATGGAGCCCGTGATTGAAGAAGTCGACGAAGCGGATACGGCTGGGAACATTGACGTTGAAGCGCGGGTTTTGACGCGCGTGCAATGTGGACAAGACGAAGGGATCCTCTTGTGGGACTATGCGGACGAAGACGCGTTGCACCCGATTCCAGTCGACTCGCCCGACCGCAAAGCCATTCGCCGCAACGTGTGCGGTGCAATGATCGTACGACGCGAAGTGGGCACCGGTTTGCTCTCAGTGCGCCACGTCTCGATCAAAGCGTATTGTCCGCTGGCGCAGCCCAAGAACGTGCCGGGAGGGCCCGAGGCGTCGGACGCCGAAGAGATTCGACGGGCCATCACGCGACGCATTGGCCTGCAAGCGACCGAGTCTGAACGCTTGCGGGACCGGTGCTTGGGCTACGTCTACAACGACATTGTCCGTCGCTTGGAGATGCTGCAAGTGTCGTGAAGCCCTGGAGTCTGAAAGCCGATCGACCGGTTGGGAGGCTTATGGAACGACCGACAAGAGAATACTCGTGCAGCTATCTATGGCAGTGCTTTATGATTTCGTTAATACCAGGTCTCGATCGCATATTCGTTCGTCCCTCCTGTCTACCTGCCTCGCTCGTCTCCCTCGTTAGTTCAGAGCGGCAACGAGCACAACGGCCACAATCGCGCGAACGAGCACGACAGCCGCAATCGCCGCGGCAATCGCTCCGATGTTTGTCTGCGGCTTCACCATCGACGATCCACTCGTCTCGCGCGGGGTCGTCGCGTTTTCCGGCCGTGTCGTGGCATTATCCCTATCTCCTGCGCCACTGGCTGAGCTTGTGACCGTATACGAGTCGGCGATCCCGACGCCCGCGGCATTGCGCTCGGCCCCAGTGTCTAGGACCTCTTTCGGGCAAATGGCCGAACAGTTGAAGCGCTTGGCGGCCGCCAACTGCTTCTCGGCCACGTGGTTCTGCACAATGCACGACATGCACGTGTGGCAGATGGACGCCGGCTGCGTCGCCTCCGAGTTCATCTCCTGCAGACAGTGCAGCCGCTCAGCGCAGACGGGGCCTTCTTCCTGAGACGTGGCAATGTAGCCATACGAGTCGACGCACTGGAGCTGATCGCTGCACTCGCCAAACTGGGCGACAGTGCCCGACGTGGCGTTCGGGTTCACCGAGTTCTGGCACTTGTCGGCGTCTGCCGCATGGCACTCGCACATGTTGCACCGAGTGTCGTGGGTTACATCCGTGGCCGACAACATGGTCACGCGTACCACGCCTTTCACCTTGCCGCACGCTGCCGTAGCTAGTGACTGCGAGATTAGTACGCCCGCGGCAAAACCCCTCCGGTCTCCTTTCGGGCCTGCTCTAACAGGGCGGGCAGGGAGTGAGATCGCAAAATTGAGTAATGAGAAGTGAATAAGTAGATGGCTTGTACAATGGCTGTTCAAGATGACATCATGTAGGTTTTTGACGACAACAGCACGCGACGTTCCCCGGTCAGTGCTGCGTTGGCCGATCGTATATTCGGTGTTCGGCGTTTATTAATCCGACGAGGTCGCTTGCTGCCAGCTGCGATCGTGCCTGGTTCGGTTAAAGTGGATCACCAATTGTGCCGTGTACTGGAAAGTGCGCCTTACACTATCACATGAAGTCAATCTTACGCCATGCTAGGTCGACTCTACCTTCGCAATTCTTTCATCACAAATGACAAACAAAAAGTACTTGGGACGTGACGAACGCCTGACAAACGACTTGGCACTCTGCGTGCTACCTTCTTTGTAGATATGCTCGTCAGAGCTTTGCAGTGGCAACGCTAGCTGCGTAAAGCGAACGCATCAAGGCATTCATCTCATGTGCAAAATTATAAACTGGCACACCTTTTTCACACACACATCATGCGACACATGTACAGGCGACGCCAAAGTTGAGGTAACGATTGATGCTTACTATGTGAATTTCTTTTTTGTACCATACAATCGGCACGACGCTAACATGACAGGGCAGCTGTTCAATGACATCATGAAGTTCAATTAAACCCTGGTTAATCCGATCCCTGCCAATCATGAGATATTGCTATATATGATAAAGAGTCGATCCAACGATTCCGTTTCAGCAGGAATGTGAAGGGAAAACTTGATAACGAGCAAATTTGATGGTTAATCAATAATCCCGTCCAAATTAATAATCTTTATCCGGTATTTGGGTCGCTGGCGTGGCACGACCGTTACACGGGACAAATCTGGGAGCAAAATCACGCCTTTGTCCAATATGCAGATGTATAATATAGGGAAATGATCGAAATGTAATGTACGCATTCCTCCCATGACACGTCTCGCTAGATCTGTATAATCATCGAGTACTGAAATGATGGTTCGAACTACATTAACCTTTCCCTCGGAGCTGATCTCTGTCTACAGGCTTGTGAAACCTTCTATTGTCGACTCCGACTCCTATTAAACCGCTGCTCCCATCAAAACCCCAGCGTCCGCTTCTTCGCTGAGCAGAGCTGTGGCAGTTAGCGATTCCGTACCCGTGTCGGCCACGGCTGCGCAGCAAATGAAGTCGTTCAGGTCCATCGGGTCGCGTATGCGCAGCCGATAAAGTTGTTATAGCAGGCTGGTGTTCAGATGGTCGTCAGCGTCATTGAGTGATCTACGAGTGGTCGTACGGACATGCACGGGCCCTGTGTACATCAAGCAGTTTAGTAAAGCATCGCTTGGAACGTCACACCAGCAGCATTATATCTAATTCATCGCCGTTAGCTGGTCAAGCGTTTAAAAACTGGTCTGTAAATCTTGTTTTTTCATTACTAAAGCATGATCGAGCTGGCGATGACGGTATCGATGCTTGAATGAGGTGATAATACCGGCGTTAATGCGCTGCATTTTGGCGATCATGTTTATAAAAGGAGCACAACGCTCGCACTCTAAAACTTCAATTCATGAGAAGTATGCATCGATGCATTGTCGAGAAGGAAAACGATGGATCGTTTTTGTGCCCCCATATCGTTGTCAAGATAATGATGCCACTCACGGAATCGGACACCGGTCATCCACGCCTTGAGGTTGCTGCGATATTTAAAGCCAAGTTGATATCATATCTTCTTTTAAAAATTGCGGCTTCTACGCGTGACCAATGATGAGGTGTATCGTTTGTCCGAGACATCAGCGCAGCAAATCGATCAACCGTCATATGATTCTTGCTCTTCATCGATTCTCTTACTTATTCGTTTATATATGGTCGGGCGCGGGGCTGTAAAATAGCCCCTTTTGTCCATGTTGAAGATGTCGGGAAGATGAATTCTTTTGAATATTCCCGGATGGCTTCGAGCTACGCAAGAATCTTTTCCGAATGTGCAAAGCCGCTCAGATCGTGATTGCTTCGCTGATCGAAGCCGTGACCTATAACCGAAGCTGAAATCCACCCATTCGAACCCAACAGCAGCTGGTCTTTTTGAATACCAATCAAAGTTGCATATCGCTTCGCTCTCGCCTTGATCAGATCTTCTCTCACCATCACGCGCTTGGCTTTACTCTGCTGCACTTAATTCGCAAGGGCTTCATCGGCTGCAGGATACAAGATCACTAGGGTCCGATTAAACTTAAGGTCGACGTCCATCACGTGCAGGAAGTTTTGACGAATACGCGGCATTCCATAGACCGTCTCTTATGAGGCTTCTTGAAGAGAACGAACTTACAACTCGCCCAATCTTCTAGCTGTGAGTGTGTAAGAGTGGTGTTTTCGTCATGCCCATAGTCGATCTTCTTCATTTGCTCATACGTCACGATACAAACTTGTTCGGGCCACAACTGCATCGTCGTGTTAATGGCGAATTAGCAAACCGAAAAGTGATTTATTCGTTCGTGCATAATTCTCCTACTGTAATTGTACTTACCATGCCGTCCATTAATAATGCTCTACCAACATAAATAGCAACAGATTTCTTCCTATATCTATGATGGCGTCATGGTCTCGAATGTCGGGGCCGTCACTGCTGACAGGCAGTGCTGGTGAAGAAGACGATACACGAGTACCCACAGGCTTAGCATACTCTTTTGCTCGTGCCGGTTCTCGGACCGGTCACCTCTCCGATGGTGCAACACCAACATTGTTAAGCAACACGCATACACAAAATTCGTCAGACACAACACTGATTTGACATGTGTACACAGTTGTTATACACACTCACACAAACTAAATATAAGCATATTAATCTACTCGCCAAAGCACATGCATAGCGCATCACCAACACTTTGTTGTGCTTCAAGTTTTTTATTGAGTCGCTCCAACTACAATTGTGTTGAAATTACGTGCTAGCCACTAACCTGGTTTCATTTAATATTTTGGGGGCTGTCAATAAATTAATGGTATTTACCTCTCTACAATTTGTTGCTTTTGTTATACATAATCCAGTCGTGCTCCATGAGTCATATCGAATTTGGCATGGAAAATATATCGCATGATTGTTATGAACGTCTCCTTCAAAAAATAGCGTGTAGGTACTCCCCAATATGAGGCACAGCAATAAAGCTGATAAACAAGGAGTATAAACGGTACAGCTGTGGTCTAAAGAACCCTAAACATGAGCGAGATGACGCCATCTCACCTGCATTCGCCGAGAGAAGAAATGGACGAGGTGGGCCCGCCTACTATGGCAACGGATCAAACGGTCGACGAGCAGGCAATGGGCGACGGTTAGAGTGACAGCAGACCGGGCAAAGGGGATACGAAGGCATTTAACGGGACACACGGCACAATATCAAAGAAACAGGCGGAGTGTTCGATGCCACAGTTGTTGACATGTGACCCGAGATAACAGGACGAGAAAGAAGTTGAACGGAGCAGCGTCAAGAAGACGTAAATCGCTTGTATTTATAGGGACACTGGAGCCCAGCGGTATACCTTTGACTTAACGTAAAGTAAGGCTAGTAAATTGACATCGCAGACGTCAACGGCTCTGGTCAATGAGATGGCAGACAACGCCCCACGTCAGCCTCGTCGAAGCAAGGTACACAACGGTACAACACCTGTTCGCGGAGGTATATGACACAATACCAGTTCTTTTTTTAGGCGTTACCAGTGGAGAGAAAGCATTTTATCTCTTAGTGCAGCAGAAGAGACCATCTTGTTAGCATCGTTCGTTCGTACCTTCATTCAAGACCACAGTAGGTTGTCCAATAAAAACTTTTTGGCAAATTCTATTTTGCATGAACCGTTAACCACAATGGGGACCTTTAAGTTGATCGCGCAGGCTAGCCATTCAGCACAAGTGCTCTTAATCTTTGGTTTCGAACCATTATGAAAAGTGATTTAAACTCGATTCGCCTCAACACGCCAGGCATCAACTCACGTCATCGAACAGCAATTGCGATTTACTAACTTTATGTTTGACCCCACAGTTTTGAATAACGAAGACATAACTTGTCTTAAAGCTCTATGTGGAGCCCTGCTACTGGGCCAGAGCAGCAAC